TGTTTCCCCGGCAACAGGAGAATTCTTTTCAGAGGGACCTTTCTGCAGCCAGCTATTGCTGTGTCCACACATCTCTGCCTGGGTGTGAATTGACTGTGGTGTGAATTGTTATTGTGAATCTATAATTCAGTCAATGTTAAAATTATAGCACATGCTATTGAATCACCTGATAACTGTTCAATTGGTCAATGATTAAGTGCTACTAATGTCTTTTGCCCCCTTATCTTTGGATCCAAATCCTTTGCACCCTGACCCTCTTGCATCCCAAGGCTCTGTGTAAATCATTCCCTTTCATCAAAAAATATATATTTTTTGTGACACCTACTTTAAAGTCTTCCTGCTTAGCTAAACTACAAAACAACTCCAATTAGCTGTAGAAGTCTTGAAGATTTGAAAAAATTAAATAAAAATAAATAATTTGTTTTTCAGTGTTTTAATGAGCCCCACAGTGTGTTTGGAGTTGCATCAGCTGTCAGTCCAAGATGGGCCATGTCAGAACCGGTGACGCTGGGGGGTGAGGAGCAAGGTTGATCATCCAGGGTCAGTGTGGATCTCCTGAGGAGACACTCAGCATCAAGATCACTTGGAGAACACCTCTATCACCTCTTCTCTGAACTACAAAATATACATCATTGAATTAAAAAAAAATACAAATTTTGAAGACTTGTTTTAAAATTGCCTTGAAGACAATTAAAGGAAAACAAGGACATCCTGAGGGATTTCTGGAATTTAATGAGCCCCATGGTGTGTTTGTAGCCCAGCCCATGATCCTGAGGTACTGAGAGAAGATTGAAGCAGCTGCTGAAGAAGTCAGAAGCCAAACTGCAAGTGCCTTGAAGCATTGCTGGGCCTCACTGAGGGCAGGCACTGACAAAGCCTCCCCATGGACTCCTTGGAGCAGCTCCTTGGAGGCCAGGAGTGCAGGCAGACAAAGGCTCTGGGCAGGCCCCTGCAAAGCTGAGCAAAGCCTGCCTTGGTTTTGTGGAGCACAAAGGCCAAGGCCTGAGCCCCAGGCCCTGGCCCAGCAGATCCTGTCCCTCCCGGCTGGCTCAGGGCTGTTTGGAGGGCACTGGGATGGGAGGGGGAGGAACAACAAAGGCCCAAAACTGGGAAACCCCTGCCAGGCTGCTGAGGGAGGGGCGAGGCAGAAACCAAGTGCAGAACCTGCCAGGCAAGTTGCTTGTGGTGGCCTGAGTGGCAGAGGCAGCTGCCAGAGGCAAGGGGACAAAGGCCTGGGTGCCTTTGGGCCTTGCAGCCCTGCCAGAGCCCTTGGCCATCTCTCCTGCAGGCTGTCCTGCCCTGGCCCTGCTGCTGCTCTGGCCTTGCAGGCTGCACACCCCCCTCCTGCTTTCCCACCCCCCTCCCAGCAGCATCTCTAGACCCTCCCTGATGTCTCTGCACCAGCTCTGGCTGTTCCCAGGAACACAAAGCCATGGGCTGATCCTGACTCCCTCTGGGGGACCTCTTGCAGCACAAGGGTCCCCGTTGAGTGACATTACTTTTTCCTCACCTTCAGTCTGAACCTTCCATGCTACTCTTTGTGGAGATTTCATTCTATTTCCAAAACAGAGAAAAGCTCCATCCTGTCAGATCTCCTCTAGACCCTCTCCAGTTCTTCCTCATTCCTCCAGGATGGGGAACCTCACAGACAGAAAGACCAGTCCAGATGTGGTGACCCCAGGGCTGAGTCCAGGGGGGTGACAACTCCCTTGTCTGGGTGCCCACACTCCCCCCAAGGCAGCCCCATGTGCAGTTGGTCTTAAATCAAGGGGCCATTCTGATTCTTTGTAATGTCATGGAATCAAGTGGCACTGTGACACTGCAGGGCCTCCTGGAACCAAAGGAATGCAGGGACACTGTGGAATCTCATGGAACCAAGGGGCCATTGTGACAAGGGCCCATTCCATGACTCTTTGGAACAAAAGGAACTCTGAGACATCTCAGAACCCCATGGAACCAAGGGACTACTGTGACACTGAAGAGTCTCATGGCACCCACTGTGCCTCCCCAGAACTCCATGGAATCAAGCAGAGCCGATGCCTCCCCCCGCCACCGCAGGGACCGGAGTCGCCGGCTCTGCCCCGCTTAGACATCTCTGGAGTCAGCGTGTTCTTGGGCAGCACAACTGATCTCAGACCAGAGAGTTTCCCACATTTTGCTTTGATCCCTTTTACCGTGGTTTTCTTTTTTGTTCTTTGTTCATTCAGAGGGAAAAGGGGGAAGGGAGGCAGTTGTTGATCCCTGTTTGTATCTCTTTACAAAAGGGAGTTGGGGCAGGGGGGGAGAGAGGAGGCAAATTCTCTCTCTGCTGTTACTTTGAACTGTTCTGTTGGTATTGTCGTTTTTGCTGCTATATTTCTCATCAGCAAACTCTTATGTTTTCATTTATACCTCCTTGTATTTTGTCTCCCTGTATTGGTGGGGAATAAAAGAGGAGTGAATTCATTTTATTGGAGTTCCTACCCCAATATGTGTCCTCAAACCAGGCATCATCATCAAAGAACTTGAAATTACATTTTGTCCCATTGTACAGAGAAATAATAAAGATGTTCTATAGTGGTGTTCAAGGGCTGGTCACTGAGGGATTTCATCAGGAAGTTGCTGCCAAGAAGTTGGGGTTGATGGAATTCCACCTGAAGTCTGGAAACATGGAGGCCTTGCACTCCATGCTAAATTTCATGAGTTTGTGGTGCACTCTTGGGAACTAGGAGAACTACCATCAGACCTTTGTGATGCAACCATCATCACTTAGTATAAGAAGAAAGGTACTAAATCAGACTGCTCAAATTACCGTGGTATAACTCTGCTCTCCATTGCTGGCAAAATCCTGGCAAGAATACTCTTGAACAGACTAATACCCACTAGAGCAGAAGGAATTCTACCTGAAAGCCAATGTGGTTTCAGAGCCCACAGGAGCACCACAGACATGGTGTTTGTTCTCAGACAACTGCAAGAGAAGTGTAGGGAACAGAACAAAGGTCTCTATGGAACCTTTGTCGACCTCACCAAGGCTTTCGATATTGTGAGCAGAAAAGGTCTGTGGCAGATTTTGGAACATTTAGGTTGTTCCCCCAAGTTCCTTAAAATGATCATCTCACTCCATGAGGATCAACACGGCCAAGTCAGATATGGCAATGCACTTTCTGAGCCCTTTCTAATAACCAGTGGTGTGAAACAAGGCTGCGTTCTCACATCAACCCTATTCACAATCTTTTTCAGCAGGATGCTCCAAAGGGCCACAGCAGACCTCAATGATCAGGACGGTATCTACATTCGATATCGTACTGATGGAAGCCTATTCAACCTAAGGCGACTGAAGGTCCACACTAAGACCTTAAACCATCTTGTCCAGGAGCTGCTTTATGCTGATGACATTGCCCTTGTTGCCCACACAGAAGCATCTCTGCAGTGTTTAACATCCTGCTTTGCAGATGCTGCTGAGTTCTTTGGGCTGGAAGTCAGCTTAAAGAAGACAGAAGTTCTCTATCAACTGGCACCTCAGGAAGTCTTCCATCATCCCCATATCACCATTGGCCAATCAGAGTTCAAGTCAGCCCAGCAGTTTAATTACCTGGGTAGCCTCATCTCCTCAGACGGTACGATGGATGGAGAGAAAGACAACAGGTTAGCAAAGGCATAGAGAGTTTTGGAAAGCTTCATAAAAGAGTTTGGCGAAATAAACACCTGATGAAAAGTACAAAGATCAGTGTTTACAGAGCCATAGTGCTGTCTACTCTCTTATTTGGTTCTGAATCATGGGTCATCTACCGCCAGCACCTGCGTCTCCTCGAATGCTTCCATCAACGCTGTCTCTGCACAATCCTAAACATCCACTGGTCAGATTATGTGACCAATACATCTGTCTAGAACAAGCAGCAGTCACAACTATTGAGGTCATGTTGCTGAGAACACAGCTGCGATGGGCAGGGCACGTCTCCAGGATGAAGGACCAACCACCGCCTCCCTAAGATCCTGCTTTATGGTGAACTTGCCACCGGCTACCGCAAGAGAGGAGCCCCAAAGAGAAGATACAAGGACTCCCTGAAACAACATCTCAGCCTTGGCCATATTGGTCATCATAACTGGTCTACTCTGGCCTCCAATCGGGAGGCCTGGAGACACAGCATCTATAACACTGCTGATGCTTTTGAGAACGCACGCAGGATCACCCTTGAGGAGAAAAGACAACGCAGAAAGAATCGTGCCTTGCAGAATATACCACCTAAGGAGTCTTTCTGCTGTGCCTTTTGCAACCAGACATGTCTATCTCATATTGACCTTTTTAGTCACCAACGAGCTTGCAACAAACGTGGGTAGAGCCCTTCCCAAATCTTTGTTCACAAAGCCCAGCCATGATGAGTGTTCTTACTGGATATGACTGTGATATATGTACATCTATATTTTTGCTCTAGCTCTGCTATTTGTTTTTTTTTTTCTCTCTGGGAAGTAAGTTTTTCGCTGGGTCTTGGGGACTTGGCAGGAAGCCAGGTCCAAAGCAACCCACGGCTGCAGCACAGGGTTTGCTGCCGTGTCACCTCCTGGGGTGCTGGGCCTGGGAGGACACAGGGGTCCCAGAGTGGGGCACCGTCTGGGGACACAGGGAGAACTGTGGCTGCCCAGGCTGGAGAAGAGAAGGGTTTGCGGTGACCTTCCAGTTCCTAAAAGAGGTTCCAAGGGAGCTAGAGAGGGATTTTGAACGAGGGCCTGGAGTGACAGGACAAGGGGGAATAGCTTCACAGCGGTAGAGGGCAGGGTGACACTGGCAGTGGCTCTGAAATGGGGTGAGAAGGCTCAGGCAGCAGCTTGTCCTTTAGCCAAGGTGGCTTCTCCCAGGGAAAGCCCCAGCCAGGGCTCAGCTTGTCCCACAAGCCTGGGGCCAGGGGTGCTGAGGGGGAAGCATCCCGCTGCCTGCGGGACAGCCCAGGAAGGACACGGTCGGCTCGGCACACTCAGCACCGCGCAGCTGAAGGACACCAGGGCTTTGGGAACGTTGTTGCAGCTTTATTGAGCCCCAGTCCTTTAGCCAAGGCAAGCTGCACCTCTGCCGGGCTCACGGCCAGCAGCAGCGCAGTGCTTGCAGGAGGCCTCTTGGTCTTTGCTGCACGCAAGGACTCCTCAAAATGGAGGTTGTCTGAACTGCCAGGGAGCTGACAGAGATGTCCCAGTCGTTCTCCAAGGGCTGAAGCGCTGTGAGGGAAAGAAACAGAGCCCAGATCAAACCCTCTGTCTGCAGAGAGCCTCTGGATTCCCGACAGACCGTGCTCCCCACTCACCGCTCAGGATGTCAGCCTGACTCTCTGTGGTCTGCTCCCTCAGGCGCCGTGTGATGAGTCCTGGGCACAGAGCTCCATTAGCCCTGCTCCCCAGCCTGCTCCCAGCAGCAGGGCCCCCAGTCCTCCCCTCCTCCCCCTCAGCAGGGCTGAGCCCAGGAGCCCCCAGAAGCTCAGGGCAGTGGGACTGAGCAAGGCGGCCACCAAGCCCCGCTGCGTGGGCAGGGCTGGCAGAGGGAGGCAAGGCCCTGCCCGGGGTGGCCAGGCACTGCTGGGGCAGCCCCAGGACTGCCCCTCGTTGCTGGGGCAGCAGCGGCACAGGGGCCAGGCTGCCCCCAGAGGCACCGCAGGGGCTGGCACTCACCGATGAACCTGACGGCCGCCAGGCGCACATTGGCCTGAGGGTCCTGCAGGTAGGGCAGGCTCTGGTGGATGAAGTCTTCAGCCCTGTTCCTGCTGTTCTGCAGCTGCAGAGAGAACAAGGTATGTCTCTCCAGGGCTGTCACTGGGGCAATTGGATGGAGCAGTGCCTCCTGCCAGCAACCCTGGGATGGAGAGGCCTCCCCTCCTGCTGGCTCCAGGGAAGGGACAGGGGCCAGCAGAAAAGCCCCTGGGGCTCTGTTCTTGAGAGCAGCAACAGGGATGCAGCTCCAGGCCCTGCCCAGCTGCAGAGCCCCCAGCCCAGACATGGCATGGGGGTAGCCCTCCCCCAGCCAGGCCCCTCAGCTTGTCCTTACCAAGCACGCTCCAAGCTCCCACAGCCGCTCTCTCTGCAGCAGGTGCTTGAGCGTCTTCCACTTCAGCAGCTCGGCGGCAGCAAGAAGGGCTTCCCTGGAGGCCTGCAGGACAGCAGGAGCTCAGAGATGGCCCGGGGGCCTGGGCAAGGAGACATCTTGGCTCTGTTCCTGGGGGATCCTGCCTTTAGGAAGCTGGGACATGCCCTAGCCCAAATGTCTGGGAGCCTTTTGGGGACAGCCCTGGGGGACAGGCGTGGAGGCTCAAAGGCCTGGCCTCTGACACAGCCTGTGGGGATGCCCCTGCTCAGGCCATGGTGGTCACAGGCTGCTGCCGAGCCCTGCAGGAGCA